ACTCAAAACAAAATGTTACTTTAGTCAAACCTATATGTATTCTTGAATATGTTGAGAATAATATAGTTCAGATTTGGTAATGTACAATGTATATGCATATAGAGCTGAAAAAGAATTGGATGCAGGCTTGATTTTTTTAATTTGCATGTTTAATGTTACAAAGTATCTCATCTTACTATGTTAAGAAAATCGAAAGTGTTATTACTGGCCAGATTAAGAAAAAAGTTGTGACAGCTAATTTCTGGGGTTTGGGCTGGAATTTTGTATCTGAAATGGCAGACTGGAAAGAGATTGTATAGTATACATCTATTTTGACTGAGCTTCTCCAACTTAGAATAACTGGAAGGTGACAAAAAAGGTTTACCTCACTGGCTGAAAATAGCAAAGAGTATAAGAACAGGGTGGGGCTGAGTGTAATTCAAGTACAGCTATGTATAAAATTTTCTTTTCCGTAGAAATACAAAATAGCCCTAAAGAGCAGTTCTTCTGACAATAATAGAGGAAACTTCTTGGAACATTTTCACTTTATATGAAGGATTAGCTATTATTGTTTGTATTTGCTTGAATTTCTGTCACATTAAAAAATTACAAATATTAATGTCCTATATTAATTTTCATACTGTTTTTCTGGAAGAAAAAATCAGCATTCTACTTGTCTTTTCTATCTGTCCTCTACAGTCATGCAAGAATAAAAACTCCTAGCTTATGATGCTTGTTGGAAGGTGAACTATTGTAGGTCAGGGACCTGATGTATAGCATGACCTCAGGCCACTTCATAGTTCATCTTTCCTTATCTTCCATTTTTGTCATGTGTTTTGTCACAGTTTCCTTCCATTCAAAATATGACACAGAGTCAGCAAAAGAAAAACAGTAGAACTTGAGAAGAGTAAGGGGCCTGGCTTCCATCCTCTTACAGACAGTGCATTAGAACATGTCTGAAACTTTCCTCCATGTTGTGTTCTGTATGATATCTTTGCAGATCACAAATCTTCATCTATTTCAAACATATATATATATATGCATCTGTTTCATGCATATATATAAATGTGTGTGTGTATATATATAGATGTATATGTATCTCAAAATTTATTTACTGAAGAGGAATGTGCATCTTCTGGAGAACCAATCTTGGTATAAAAGGGATAGGAGGAAAATTGTAAACAAACTATTAAGTGCAGCAGTATGCATTGATTCTGACATCCTGGCACTATTCTGTTTTGGACTCTTCTGGCCAAAATATAAACCATGTCCAAAAGCCTAGGCTAGACAAATAAAAACTTATTTTTGTCACACTCTCCAAAGTGTTTGGCTATAAGCCAGCTGTGGTTCTTAAACCATATGGCCACATAAGCTCAGACAGAGAGCTGTGCTAATAAGGTTGTCATTCACATCCACAGCAGTTCTCTCTGCAATGTCACCCTGGAAACTCATAAAAAGTTATTCATCCTCTGATAATTTTTTTTATTCTGCTATTCCTGCCCACCCCTGAGATGCTACTCAATTTGCTAATGTAAACTCTTTTTTTATTTGCATGCACACACCTCTGCATTGTTAGATATTAAAAAGCATGCTATTTAAGTCGACCAACTCTGCATTACTAGAGGAGATCTAGACTGCTCAGTGCTTCATATCACACTATTCTAAAATGCTGAGTGATAAGCCATCTTGGTTAGTAGTCCACAAATCTTGTTAGCAATACGTTCTTTTTGTTTTCTTCCAGATCATTGCTTAAGATTTTAAGTGTTAAACTGGAAAAGAATCTCTGTAGGTATTTCTAGATAGTCCACTGGAAGTTTCATTTTGACCGATTTTTTTTTTTTGCATTGTCTTTGGTTAACTAGGTTGTAGACTAGTTTATGTGTTTTCTCTTAATCACACACATGGAGTAAATGATACTGTTAATTAAGAGGAGAGAGCACAGCAAAGGTTTAACAAAAGAAGTAAAATGGAGCATATATGAGTTCTTAGTCTGGAGGTTTTGGTAGAGACTGAAAATGTTTCGCTTTGGTACACTTGTACATCTGGTTATCTCTTTTATCATCTAAATTACTCACTTTGAGCTTATGTTTTATGAGTTTCAAGTTTGTTTTCTCTACCTTGATTATACCTTTTTTTGGTATTATCTGCAAGACGTGTATTTACCTGAGGTGTATGAATTTGCTCCAGGTCTTGTTTGTGATATCTTCTTCCTGCCTAGGGCAACTATGAAATTCTACCATGGTGACTGCAACTTTGCTGGCACTTTCTGTAATGCAGTGCTCACCATTTGTCAAATTTATAGCCAGTACTGTAGGTGTATAGCAAAACAGTCCTCCTGTCCAAATATTCAGTGTCATGTGAGTGTGTACTATAATTGCCTAGCAACAAACTTTGCCTCTTGTAGACTGCCATGTAATTCCTTGGGAATGTTGTACAGGAACTAATAAGAATGATAACTATATTTAATAATTTATGCGCTGTGCTTTGAGAAACATCACTTATATAGGCTTGTGACGTATTTGATCTTATCGTATAATGAGAAATGTTCATTTAACTTCTTTGCATTCCTTCCCCCCTACCCTTTTGTCTGACTGGTTATTAATGAACTGTTCAGCATCACAATTTCCATAATACTCTTATGTTTAGATTATGCTGTTGGCTGACTTAGTGTAAACTGCAAATATTCACAAGTCAAAATTCTGGCCTCTAAACCGACACTTTAAAAATTCATTCTGTGTTCTTTTGTCTTTTATCAAGAATTTTGAAGTACAGCTGTTTGAGACAAACTTGACTAATTGTCACATTAATTGTTTTTTTCTGTTTTCTGGAGCTTTCAGAATAACAGCAAAAGTTATTTTAAATAACGATCTACTTGAGATTCTAGCATTATCTGTTTGCTTGCCTGCAAGGAGAGGTCTGTGCTCTAGGCAGGCCATATAGGCCAGATTCAGGGCGGGGGGGGAATCATAGTAAGGGGTGACTCCAAGGGTGATTTCTCAATAAGGTTTCTCCTTATTTTCTCCTCCTTTTTTTCTGACTTAGTAGTGAGTTGCAGCTCAAGTACTAATCCTCAAAATTGAAAGCTCAACTGTTTAGTGGTGGTGTTAGCTGTATTACAAGAGGATTAACACAGCGAATGTCATTGCACGGTGCACCTATCGCAATCCACTCAAGCAAATCAGGTTACAGATGATTTTTCCATAAGTAGAGCTCAGATGTAAAAGTTCTCTAGGAGCTGCTTTTGTTGTGGAGCAGATGTCCTCCAGCAGTTTTTCACAGTCACTCTCACTTTCTCATGAACTCAGGAAAAATAAAAGTTGCTTAGCCAAGTTTAAAGGAATACTTTTCCTTTAATATGAGAGAAGGGCAGCCAAGCTCCAACTGAGCTCTGGGAAAATATGATGTTGTTCTTACCAAAGTATGCTGCAGTTTTATTAGTGGAATATCTGGAGGAAAACATAGATTAATTCCTTCAAAGTAGGAAAGTGATATTCCAAAAAGGGTGGTATAAGCAGGTGCTAAAATACAGAAAGCATCTGATTCTGTTAAATGTAGCAAGTAACTGTTACAATAATCTTAAGTATTATTTTGTTTAGTATGGTAGAAATGGAAAATTATTTTCTATCTGGAAGCTTAAGTTAAGAAAGTGGTGTCAGTCCTGCTATATGGAGCTGTCCAATCACCTCACTGTTTCATGATGGCAGTAAACACAAGAATTGACTGAAATATTAGATTACTTTCTTAAATATGAAAAATTGAATTATTATATTTGATAAGTTTATAAAATTTTTACTTTTTCATCCAGTGTTTCAAGAGACAAGATGATAATCAAGTTCTTTAAAGTTAATTGTAGCTACTGTCTTGTTATTCCCCCTGTACAATCAATGCCTGAATAAGTAGTCAGCTACTCACCTGATTCATTAGCTCTGCTGTGAAGGAGAAGAATTGGACCTAATTATTTTCTCTGTTGCTTGCAACCTAAATTATTTTGTAATTCTGAATGTTTGCTTCTGTATCAGAGTCCTCTCTAAAGTATATCATAACAATGGTTTCCATTCATAATGAAAGCTGCAGGAGCCAAGTTCATAAATATAAATTTTAGTAGAGTGGTTTAAATTGAATTTTTGACACTGTTGAGTAAACAGGAACTGAAACTCTGCTTAGACAAAAGTGGTGATTTGAAATGGTCATCATAAATTTGAAGGAACCAGTGGGAAAGTAGTTTGAGTGTATTTTCCCCCCCACCCTCCACATTAACCTATCACTACAAGATCATGAACATTTAATTCATCCCAGAGCAAACATACTGATGATATTTCATCTTGCAGTGTTAGGTGAAGGCTAGCTCTTGGCCATCTCCATACCAGAGATAGAAGGATGCCACTTATGCAAACCACCAGAACTTGCTTAGAAAACCAGTGTCTTTCAGTCTCTCCTCAGCTGAGAAATCCATCTGTACAAGTTTGCCCTTTGCCTCCACCAGTTCTATATTGTGCAGGTTACATGGTGGTGCACAGTATCAGAAAAATTGTTTTTCAGAGAGAATACTTCTTAAAGGGCTTTCATAACTGAAATGTGATCAGTACTTACCAGCTTCTTAAAGTTTTATGTATATTACTGAGAATAAAAACAAAAAATGTAACTGATTTTTTTTCACTCCAAACTGGAAAATCAGTAATTTCTCCATTATTGAGATTTATTAAGTTATTTTATTAATTTTACTTTACATTGAACTGTTCCATCAGTGTTTAAAAATGCAAAATTATGGCTGAAAATGCAGTGCATCAGAACCGCTCTTCAAAACTTCATTAGTGGAAGAAAAATATGATGTTGTGTTGTGGCATGAGAATCAAAGTTAAAGTTGTGAATTACTAGTTACCACTTGAATGCTTATACACCCAATTTTTATTTGGATTAATTAAGCTTGGATTTTGAAATTATAATGAATTTAAATTAATTAGATCTAACTGAAAAGTCTTCTGTTGGAAAGTAAATAAGTCATGGCTCTTCGTGTATTTCAGGTAACATACAAGGAGCAACAATAGTAGATGCCCTTGATACACTATACATCATGGAAATGAAAGAGGAATTCAAGGAAGCCAAGGAGTGGGTTGAAAAAAACTTGGATTTCAATGTGGTAAGTAGTGTTCTGATGAACATTTAATGCTCTGTTTAGTCTCCAGGGACCAGTTGATGACTGGATTCTAATATTAAAAGCACGATGCAAGGCTACAGAATTTAGATCATTGATAGACAAAGCAAGGCAAAAAGCTGAAATATAAGTAAGAAACTTACTGTTCTGCTTGTATGCTCTTTTTCAATCTAAGAGATTTAGGTAGATGGCAGGCAGCAAGCTGGACTGAAGGAAGGAAAAAGAAAATAGAGTATTTACCACTGTAAAGTAAACAACAGCCTTTTCAGCTTTTTTGGATAGAAGAATCCAGACACTTCAAGCATTAATTTTTTTGTTATGTAAACACTGTTCATTTTCACTTTGTGAAATCTTCCACGAATTTGCCTTGTGTTTAGAGAAAGCTCATCATCATGGCTGGGCTTCACGAACGAAGATTTGGGAAAGGTCTCTATCCACATTTGTTACAAGCACGCTGGTGGCTAAAAAGGCCAATATGAGACAGGCATGTCCGATTGCAAAAGGTACAGCAGAAAGACTCCTTAGGTGGTAAATTCTGCAAGGCACGATTCTTTCTGCATTGTCTTTTCTCCTCAAGGGTGATCCTGCGTGCGTTCTCAAAGGCATCAGCAGTGATATAGATGGTGTGTCTCCAGACTTCCCGGTTGGAGGCCAGAGTAGACCAGTTATGTTGATCAATATGGCCAAGGCTGAGATGTTGTTTCAGGGAGTCCTTGTATCTTCTCTTTGGGGCTCCTCTCTTGCGGCAGCCGGTGGCAAGTTCACCATAAAGCAAGATCTTAGGGAGGCCGTGGTTCTTCATCCTTGAGGCGTGTCCTGCCCAATGCAGCTGTGTTCTCAGTGACATGGCCTCAATACTTGTGACAGCTGCTTGCTCTAGAACAGATGTATTAGTACATAATCTGACCAGTGGATGTTTAGGATTGTACGGAGACAGCGTTGATGGAAGCTACACGCCATACATACTACTTAGGTTCCTTTGTCTATTCCAGTGAAGTTGAATCCCACGAGTTAGGCTGAACTACTGGCACAACTGAGCTGCTTTAGTCTTATGAAGCACCAGGTCTTCACAACTGCAAGTACAAATCACTCTATTAACTGGCAAATATGAAGCTGAGAGCAAAGTTCATTATTGAAGCTTTTATTCTAGAAAGGCCCTGAACAGGCAAGAACCTCTGAAAAACATCAGTTAAACTGAGAAGTCTTGGGTTTGGTCTTTTTTTCTTTTTATTCTTTTGTGGGCCAGAGGACTTATTGTAATTTCTGGGTATAGAGAGCTGATAGAGTACCTCTGTTGATCAGTGTAATAAAGTAAGAAAGCATTGTAGGCACAGTGCACAGAGCACTTAAAAGCTCTTGTAGTTGACGTGTGTAATGTTAGAAACACTTTCTGAAAACAAAGTACTCTTTCTAATAGGTAGTGCAAAAGCCAGGATTAATTAGCTTCTCTTACGTGCTTCAGAATTAATTATCATTTTAAGAAGGAGTTAATAAGAGTGGATATTACATCGTTTATATAAGCAGTAATTTAGTGTGCATTTATATTTACATGTGTAATGTAAATATAGGATATTAAACAGTGCTTCTGAGTAGTGTCAGAAGCCTAAATGACATGCTAACTTTATTTTGTGCATAATTTTTTTTTCTAAAAGAATTTTTATAATACTAAATTCCTGCCTTATTAGCTTGGCATTCTTAAGATGTTTAAAAATCTAAGAGCAAAACAACATAGAAAATAGCAAATTCCATTTTAAAGGATGAGCTGAGCTCTACTTGGAGAAATATTGTAGTGTTGTAGAGTGATTTATGTTATTACCACAAAAATCTTTGTGGGTACATAAATCTTGCTATATGTCATACTGGAACCTTATGGATGGTATTGCCTACAATTTCAGCTCCTCTTGTTAATGCATTTATTTTTTCTCAGTAATGTTTTTAAGCTATGAAGTCTTTCAAAATGTCTGAAATCCTGTATTGCATTAGTTGATCAATGCAGCAATCAAGCAGATTTACCGAAGCTACTTCATAGATAATACTGATATGCATCAGTAACAGTATCTTGTTCCTGATATTCTTGTAAATAGCTGTCTTGAGTTTGACACCTCACAAAATTATTCTCATAATGCTTCATAATCATATAGGATTGAATTTTACATTGGCATCAACAGCGAGTAGATTAATTTTCCCATACTGGAAAAAGGAAATGAAAATAAATAACTGCAACACCAACTTCAATAAAAGTTGTGCAGTTGTTTAGTGACTGGACTGTCGGAAGCTACTCAACTTTCACTCTTCTTTAGTTTTTCACTTTAAATATAAGTTCTAGTTTTAAATGCTGTTTTGTATTTGTATCTTACTGTTTAAAGAACAGGAGGGCCTTTTGTGTTTAAGCATTTATCCTGTATCAGGCATTTTCTGAATTAATGTTTTGTACACTCTTACATGATTCTGTTTTAGAAACCTTTGTCTCATGAAAGTGATTTGTTTTTAAAAACTGACACACTAACATATCCTTAATGGTTATTTCTTGTGAATAGTATAAACTTGTGTTTAATGTTTCTGGTTATTTCCTGGGCAGTGACTGCTTAATCAGGTTTTGGGGAGGCATATTTGGGCTTTATTTGCATAAATAGGATTAGCTTTTCTCTCCATTTATTCTTAGAACTATGTATTTTACATGTTAAATTGTTCTTTACAAAAATAGCTGTGACTGTAGTCTGTAGCAGAATCTTTTCTCTGTGTTCCATGTCAATGCAGCTGGATAAAGGAAACTGTTTCAAACTCTGTAAGATACTCATTGTACTTGTTGAATTATTTGGCCATCTCATCACTTGATTCTCATCACTTGATCATAAAAGTTTCCTAATGTCACTTTGTAAAGTAGGCACTAGTTTATCCACATGAAAGCATTTATGGAATAAAGATGACTTAATGGGAAATGTCATCATTTCTTTATGTGTTAGATTTCAGTCCCACAATTCAATGAATTGGATGTCAGGGTTACTCTTATTTACCTTTCTGAAAATAGGTTTTGATCCTGAAGGAAAATTCCAGAAAAGTAAATGACACCTTTCTCGGCAAACTTGTGCATTTTAGTAAGCTTGTGAGTGGATGTGTTTGGAAGCTTCCCCTTTTGGAGTATAACATGCTTAGGCTATTTTCGTTATAGCTATAGCTGGTAGCCTTGTGATTTTATAACTGAGATATCCATGTTGCAATGCTTGGAGCTGTTTTTCTGTTCATGCTGCTGAAATTTTTTGTATTTGACACCTTGCTGAATTTACAGCCAAACTGAGCCGTTCCTTCAGGCATTAAGTTACATTTTCTGATTATGTCAATGTTTTAAGAGATTTAGACATACCTTTGGAAAAAGTTGGCCTTTACAGTGGCTAAATCCATGCTCTTACACCATGGATGTGTGCTCTGTTTTCTGTTAGAGCACTTCATCTCCATGGGGGATTTATCTTTGCTCTTCTAATTAATATAGCTAAGGATTTGTTCTGACCTCCCCATGCATGCTGCTGCTCGCACACAGCCCAAGGCTGCACTGGGCTGGGTTGTATATCAACACATTAGAACGGAGGAAAAAGGAGCCAGTCTTTCATGGGATCTCTAGGGAGCTTGGCTGTTTCCTAGCTACAGCTACACACTGCTACGTGCTTCTCTGCCCTTATTTTTTATCATTTGCTTCAGAATCTGTACACACACACAGAGCATTCATAGCTTTCTGAAAGAGTTTTTGTACCACCACCCAACTTGTGCTTCACACTGGGGAGGAAAGAGCTATCAGTCTCTGCAACACAAGGGCTGAATCTCACTGAATCCATACTTGGGAATAGAGATAGGAAGAGGGATCTTGATGAGGCAAATGAAGAGGTCTGGTGTCGGGGGGAAGTGGCGCAGGAGCTGAGCCACATGGCACAGCAGTGAAGGGTTGGGAGTTGTTAAGTATTGGAATTGATGACTTGTCACTTCTACATCCAGATACACCACAGCATCATTAGGATGAGTGACTAAGTCATCTGTCCCCCTCTTCTTCAGCCCTCTTAAACTCCTTCCCTGCAAAATGGCACTCTTGCCCATACTTCATACTAGGAGCAGTCCTTGGCCTACATGGTGTCCTAAAGCATATCTGGACATTGGCTGGAACAACACAGGCCCAAACCAGATCAGAAGGTGCTAACAATCAAATGGTACATGGGACAGGGCTTGACCCGCTGATCAACTGTGTGATGTAAATGTAGCCAAACAGGATCAGAATGGGAACAAGGTATGGAGCAGAAAGCCATGCACTTATTGGGATAAGAGGAAAATAGGGAAAGTATGAAGAGCATTTCATTATTTCCTCTTGCAGAAAGATGCTAATGACTTGAGGAACTGCATATAGAGAAGGGAATGAATAAAAAGGTGGAGATACCTTCAGTATTGTGTCCTGCCAAAGCTCTTAAGGAAAGCTGTTTACAGGGGTCAGTCACCGTATCTGATTTTATAAGCCACTTTAAAGCTTGAAGGCTAACTTAACAGTTCTGATTTTCATCTTAGTGCTTAGCTCTGAAAATTTGGATATCTACTAAGGAAGTTTTGTCAGCAACTTCATGCAATGTGAAAGTTTTGTGAGTAATATGTCTACTATTTTGGGAGCTGGAAAAGAACTGGAAAAAAAATAGGAACTTCAAGTTATGGCTTTTTCTCTACTGTCATATATAGGTCAACATACTCCTTTTCCAAGATCAAGAATAGCAAATATTATTTGCATCTAGTTATTAACGCTTCCAGCATTTATCATTGGCTCACATCTATCTGTGGTGTGACAGTCAGTAACAGGGCAGACATTTAGAACCCAGTTTGCATATTTCAAACTTCATTTACAAATCAAAAGCATGCTACTTTCAAACTGTAGGTATTATGGTGGACTTGTAATTATATTTAGCAGTCCACAACCTAGTGTTCTTACTTGAAGGCAGTTGGTTTTTTGGTGCTTTATT